CTGCCGCGTCGTACTTTGCTCGATGCAATTTCAAGAAGATTGTCATCTATGAAAGAAACTCGACTTTGGGAGGTATCTTGAGAAAGGAAATCCAACAAGAGAGATACTCCAAAGAGAATCTTGACTTTGAAATTTCATTGGTCACTGCATATCCAAACGTCGAAGTCAAAGTGAACGCCGACGTGAAGAGTGAAGATATCAATAATTTGAGGAAACAATACAACTACGTCTTTGTCTGCTGTGGAAGACAAAGCCCATACACTTTCGACAAGGCTCCACTGGCTCGCGAGTTCTTGAATGGAATGGCTGATGGCACTTTCGATGTGAAAGGAAAGACCGTAGCCATTTTAGGGTCTGGGGATGTCACCGTAGATTGTGCGTTAGCTGCACAAGATCATGGAGCCAAACAAGTCTTAATGGTGATGAGAGAAGACATCAGAACTGCTACATGCCACAAGAAACAAATGATTGAAGTCATTGAGAGGAACATTGAAATCATTCCTAAGGTATTACCACAGAGACTCGATGCTAAGGGTGTCATTTGTAAAGACTTGTACGATCCAAACCAATCTGAAAGACTTATTCCAGCTGATCTTGTTATCTGCGCCTTTGGCTTTGGACTTGTGAACAACTTTGTCGAAGGAACTGCTGATGAGAAAGGACTTGTGAGCAAAGGAAAAGATGGTGAAGCTGATTTGTACATTGGAGGAGATTTCAGAAGATCATTCTCCATTGTAGAAGCCGTTCATGATGCTGAGGTAGTTGTTGCTGAAATTCTTAAAGAGAATGATGGTGTCAAGAGAATACCAAAGTTCCATACTCCCGTTGAAGATGTTGATATATCAGTTGTATGTGATGGAATTAAATATGAAAATCCATTTGGTATTTCATCTGCACCAGTCTCTGGGACTTATGATCATTTGAAGAGATGTTTTGAGGCTGGCTTTGGGTTTGCTTTGACTAAGACATATCCATTGGAGAAAGATATTCAGAAGAACAATCACATTCGAATTGTTAAGGTGTATGATTCCCAAGAATCCACATCATACAATAACATTGTTATGATCTCAGAACACTCGCATCACTATTGGCTCGATTCAATTAAAAAGCTCAAACAAGAGTTCCCAAATAAAATCGTCATTGCTTCTATTATGTGTATGGACAACAAAGAAGACTGGCAGTCACTCGCTAAGATGACGGAAGAAGCCGGCGCTGATGCGTTGGAATTGAACTTCTCGTGCCCGAACGAGTGTCATGGCAATGATGGAAAGGAAGGAGGATGTACCGGTGGGTTTAAGTCACACAATGCCATGGCTATGGCCATTGGTGTTTCTCCCTCTGCTATTGAGAGATGCACGAGATATGTTGTCGACGCAGTTAAGATCCCAGTGTACCCAAAGTTAACTCCAAATGTCCAAAACATCGAAGAGCTTGCTGCCGCTGCTATGAGAGGAGGTGCTACTGGTGTTTCAACGATTAATACAGTCTTTGGAATCTCAGAGATCACCATGTCAGGACATCCATGGCCACAAGTGGGTGTTAACCAGAACACCATTTCTGGAGGACTTTCTGGTGATATGGTCAGACCAATTGCCATTAGACAAATTGCACAAGTCCTCAGACACAACGAGAACATTAGAGGCCACTTGCTTGGTATTGGTGGAGTGAGATCTGCACAGACAGCAATGCAATTGATTTACACAGGTGCCTCAGTCATCCAGATGTGCTCGTCTATTCAGAAGTGGTCGTATGACATTGTTGATGAAATCATCTCAGGAACGAAGTTCTTGTTGTACTGCTGGTCTCGACCGGATTTGAGAGGGTACTTGAATTCACAAGGAGTTGAGAGATTTATGCCACAAGGGGAGAAGACTATGTACTGGAAATTGGACTGCAAACAAGACAGAAAGGTTCCAACTGTTGCTGAGGTGACTGGTATTGCTTTGAAACATATCGGAGAAAGAAAAATCCTCGAAGGCCCAGAGAAGTGGAGAGTGTGTGCTCATATTGAAGAGAACTGTATTGGATGCGGATCGTGCGCTTTGTCATGCAGAGACAACTCGACCACAGCTATTAAGAAGAATGGACAGAAGTACATTGTTGACGAAGAAAAGTGTATTGGGTGCAGTCTTTGTGCATCAGTATGTCCAGTCAATGCAATTCAATATCAATCGATCAAGGGTCTCGATTTGTTAACACCAGAAGAACTCGCAAAGGTGCCCACTGCTTTCTAACACATTTTCTTTAATTTTTTGAACCATTTTCTTAACACTTTTGGTTTGCAAGCACTTAATTGTTTTATATTCTAATTCTTATTATATTATTTTACTGATAATAATAATATAACGATTTAATAAAAGGCACACAATTCCATTCGATTTAATTCAACAAAAAAGCCGTCTCTTAATTTCACTATTCAAAGAAAAGAATAACGAAAAAAAAAGAACTTGAAAACTTAATGGTATGGAACTGGAAAAAATGGGATCTAATCCATGTACTGAAGATTCTGGCGCCGTTTAGAGGAACTCTCATTTTTTTCATTGTATTCACTATTATAATTAATTATTTGTATTACCTCGACTGGTACACCCATTACGAAACTCAATTACATTCAACTGTTTGTTCTATTAAATAATTATTAGTATTATAATTTATTTCATTGTAACAACAATTTTTTAACAATTGGCGATGATATAATCTAACATACAGACGTATTTGTTTTTAATGATATTTGATGTGATGATGACCGTTTTAATTGCTGATTTGGTGCACCCCGGGATCGTCGTCTTTTTAACGGTCTCGATATTGTTAGCATTGGGTGTGATCGATTTGGACGAAGCGTTTGTGGGCTTTTCTGATAGTTCGACGTTAACGGTAATGGTAGCATTGATACTATCAGCTGGCATTAATAAAGTACAATTACTCGAGAAGATGGTCCACTTCTTATTGCCATCAACAAAGCAATATTACGTCTTTCCAAGCGCAATGCGCTTTTTGCCATTTGTGATGGCCCTCTCCTTATTCCTCAACAACACGCCTGTTGTGGCTATGTCGATTCCACTCATCCAGACTTGGGCAAAAACTTCTGGGCATTCAGCAAAGAAAATGTTAATGCCTGTGTCGTTCTGTGCTATATTTGGTGGGATGAACTCTATATTGGGAACTTCAACGAATTTGGTTGGGCGTGGGTTGGTCTACCAACAAGTCTCCAAAACAAATTCGCTGTTTCATATGAATTTGAAATTTGAGATGCCGCTCTTTGAAATTGGACTAGTTGCGTGTCCTGTTGCCATTGTTGGGTATTTGTACTGCTGTTTTTGCACATCACTGCTTGACAGAAACAAAGAAAAGAAAGAGAAAGAAAAGAAACACGAGAAAACGTTTTTTGTACACATGAAAGTGACGAAGGAGAACCAATTCATTGGAACACATTTGCACCAAACACCTTTGTGTAACCCACCGAATGGACGAGTCGTTGCAGTCAAAAGAAAAGATATCTACGAAGAATTTTTGAAGGAAGAAGACGGCAAAAAACTTGAGGAGACAGTGCCTATTGTACTTGAACAAGAGAAGAGTCCGGACTCAATCTATTTTTCTATAACCCAACCCAATATCACTTCATTTAAAAGTTCAACCAGTAACATCGAAACAAATACAAGTTCCTCCTCTTCTGAAATGATATCAGAAAACAGTACCATTGAAAAGTACCGTTCGGGTATTGAATTAACAACAGACGTTGTTGTACAAGAGAATGATATTTTAATCTACGAAATACCACAGCGAAGTATGTCCGATGTTCTCTGTCAAAAGGGTTTAAAACTGGATGATCCAAAAATAGATCACATCACACAAACAGCGTTCTCGTTTTATGAAGTGTGTTTGCCAAAAGACGAGAGGGAGCTTCCCCACAATATTCAATATAGTATAATTGGCGTGACGGGTCGTGAGGATAAGGAGGTGGTGTTTCCAAGTCGGTCATGGATTGTCGCTGTTCCACAGAAGTACTCGAAAACCTTCCCAACACCATTTTTAATAGCGAAACCGCTTGATATAGTATATCTCGTTGATGTTCCATTGTATAAAACGTTGGTAGCAGTGATAGCACTTGCTTTTCCTATTCTTATGGATGTCTTTGAGTTTGGCAATTTGGTTGAATACGCCCTTTTCAGTGTATTACTTCTACTGATATTTCGTGTGTTGACGGTCGAAGAGTTTTTTGGTGCGATTGACATTCCACTCTTCTGTATTTTAGGCGCTTCGTTTGGGCTTTCTACTGCAATGGTTAAGACTAACTCGGGGTCTTTACTTGCACTCACATTGACTCGGTTGTTCTCGCCTTTTGGCAAATTAGGTGTGTTGGCAGCTTTGTATATCCCCACCTTGTTGCTGACGCAACCACTAAGCAATACAGCAGTTGTAGCTGTGATGTTTCCAGTGGTATGGGCCGCTTATTGGGGGAAAGATCCATTGGGCCAAGAACGGGGGCAAATCATTGGTCTTAAGAGTGGAATGTACACTATGATGTTGGCTGCAAGCGAGGTATTTGTTCTTCCAATCGGCTATCAAACTAACATGATGGTCATGGAAGTCGCCGATTATTCCATCAGCGATTTCGTTGTATTCGGAACACCATTAATGATTCTTTCGATGATCCTTTCCGTGACAATGCCTTGGTTAGTTTTCGAGGTACTTCGTCCTTCCTCCTTGTAATTCTTTGTTGTTTACTTGTTATTATTTAACTATATAATTAAATTATAAATAATAATCTATTATGTTTACTTTTCAATAAACTATTAAAGTTTACTATTATCAAATTGTTGAAAAGTTGACATTTTCTTGAAATTAAAAATGATTTTTTCAATTTTCATCTCTTTCAATTTTTCCATCAAAAGTTGATTATCTCAAAAAATAAAACGTTTCTTTTCTGTTAAACTGCTCGCCATAATAACATTTCGAAAAACAAAAAGCCTCTCAAAAAGAGAGAACCCCACAATTCTAGAACAATAAGAACGAATGGAACATGCCAAGACACCCCAAATTGCTGTTTGAAAAGATAAAAAAACGCTAAAAATCAACAAGAACACAAAGAAATTTAAGCATAGCCATAAAGGGTTCTGCCCTGTCTTTTAAGCGCATATACGACATCCATAGCAGTCACTGTTCTTCTCTTCCCATGCTCTGTGTAAGTGACCGAATCTCTTATGACTTGTTCCAAGAATTGCTTGAGGACGTTACGAGTTTCCTCATAAACAAGTCCGTTAATTCTCTTCACACCACCTCTACGAGCAAGTCTTCTGATAGCTGGCTTGGTAATACCTTTAAGAGCGTCTTGTTGTCCTGGTTTGGTTCTGATTCTCTTTCCTCCCTTCGAGCCTTTGGCCCCTTTCGAACCCTTTCCAAGAACGACACCCTTTCCACCTTTTCCTCTTCCACTACCTGTATCGGTCGCCATTTTTTTTAATATTTCGTAACAGTTCCAGCTTATATAGTTCCGCTTATTTCAAATTGAACTTGACGACCTTTTTGTCTTTTTGGGTTTCTCTCTTTTCAGCCCAAGCTTGTGTAAGTTGTTGTTCATTTCAGAAAGAGTGGGAATTGATCTGAAAATGGAATTTCTTCATTATCTAATCGCATTATTTTCCTGATTGCGTAGGAAATGTTATCAAATTATTATGACTATTTGTTAAAAATCTCCTTTTCGAGTTTGTCGAATTGATGAATTGCGATAAAATTGTGTATTGTATTTCATTTTGTGTTAATTTCTGAAATTATTTTCTCAAATAAAAATATTTCTGTGTCTGGTAATTACAATTTTTTCTATTTTTTCGGGATAATATCCCAATATTTTTTTAATTAATTGTTTTTTTTTTAAACAATACCTTTTTAATAAGAATATCTCTTATAATTTGTGTTAATAATGAAAAATATTACATGGAGTGTAATTTAAACAACAACTCTAACAAGTTGGATTTTGAACATTCATGTCAAGTTGTTCACTTTAATTTATGATTAACTTAATAGAGTCTTATTTTTTTTAATATAAATTTATTTTTAATTTTTTGTAAAACCATAGATAATTAAAAAACAAACTAATAAGAAAACATTTTTATATAAATATTTCCAGAGAAATGTTTTATTTATTGTCAAATTAATATTTTTTAAAATGCAATTGAAATTGTATAATAAAAATATCGTTATGATTGTATAACTATTAACTATAACTACAATGAAATGAACGAAAAATGTCTTACATTACTGATTGCTATAATGATCCTTTGTGCACGTTTCGTCATCTTGCAAAGTGCTCATTCCGGCCAACAAAGATGCACCTACCCACGCCAAGTACTTTCTGTTTTGTAACGATATAATTTTGACGTCTCTTGGATTCATCTTATTTTCGGTACAGAGTCTCTTGAGCTCCTTTTCGAGTCTTTCTGGTAAACCTTCAAATAAAGTTGATCCACCAGCCAATACGATGTGTTGGAGCAATGGTCTTCTCGATGTCAATGGGCATTTTTTGATTGTATTAAAGACCATCTCCGGAACACCGAGTGTATCCAAGCCGACCTTTTCGGGTTGGAAAAGTGCTTCAGGGCATTGGAATCTTTCTTGGAAAAATTTGCTTGCCTGCTCGTTACCTGGCACTACAAACTCCTTCATCACTTCTTTTGCTTTTCTCTTCATTTCAGAATCATAATCCAAAGCAACGTAACACACACTTTCCTTGATTGCTCTCACCAATTCCATTTGAGCAGAAGTTGTGTAAATGTATCCACATGCTCTCAAGAGTCTGGACATGTACTCAGTAAGACCTGAGACGTTTCCTTTGATCTTTTCAATAGCACTGTCAATGACATACCCATCAACTGCTGGAACTATTTGCATTCTGTTCCCAATTTCAACAACAATACCAGTCTCTTTGCCTTCTGCGTACAACGCCATCAAAGCTGGGTTGACGATCTTTAAGAATGGAACATTCAAATCATTGAACATCATAACTTTCAAACGCTCTGTCGCAGCTTCATTCATACTTGGAAGTTCAGTCATGACTACTGGATGGGCGGCTGGATCACATCCGTTTAACTCATTCTGATATATGTTTTGAATAACCGAAAAGAACCCGTCCCAATCAGTTTCCTTTCGTGGGTCAAGTGGCCACACAAGCCCTTCATCCTCATCAATTGCTTTGTATCCAAACTCATACCTCACACCATTTTCTGCTTCTTCATCATCAATCTTGCAGTAACAGTTGGGAATGACTTTCTTTGGTTGTTCTCCTCCCCCTGTTCCAACTTTAATAAACGAACTGCCACAATCAAACACAATGACTGCGTCATCGGGGATTCTTGAAAGTGTCTCGTTTGCTTTTTCTTCGTTTTCGTGTGTGAAAAAGGCTGACTGTGAAATCATAATTTTCTTCTTTTGTCTCTTTCTCTTTTTTGGTTGCTCTCCACCAGCAGTTTCCTCGGGCTTTTCAATCTCTCCCATGTCTGGCATTCCTCCCATAGCTGGCATACCCATACCGGGTAATCCACCCATACCACCAAGCCCTGGCATACCGCCCATCGCTGGCATTCCACCTATACCTAATCCACCGCCCATTCCGAGTCCTGGCATCCCAAGTCCTCCACCAAGTCCAAGTCCTGCTGGTTGCCCTCCGCCTAGCCCGAGACCTGTGGGCTGTCCACCACCCAATCCCAAACCAGTTGGAGCGCCTCCCAATCCAAGTCCTCCAGAAGGTGCACCGAGCCCCAACCCCGATGGTTGTGCTCCCAATCCAAGTCCAGCAGGTTGAGCACCAAGTCCCAATCCAGGTGGCTTTGCACCAAGTCCAGGTTGTCCCATGCCACCCAAGCCTGGCTGTGCTGCTCCCATTCCTAATCCTGGTTGTCCCAGTCCAGGCGCGCCCATTCCCATTCCAAGGCTTGGTTGCGGTGTTGGTTGCGCTCCGAGACCCATTCCTCCCAATCCGGGCTGCCCAAGTCCTGGTGGTTTAACACCCAAGCCAGGTTGTGCTGCTCCTATTCCTCCTAATCCCGGTTGAGGTGCACCCATTCCCATTCCAAGCCCCGGTTGTTGTGTTGATTGTGAACCAAGTCCAGCAGGTTGAGCCCCTAAACCCAACCCAGGTGGCTTCGCGCCAAGTCCAGGTTGTCCCATGCCACCTAAACCCCCTTGGGGTGCTCCCATTCCGAGACCTGGTTGTCCCATTCCTCCTAAACCAGGCTGCCCCAGTACTGGAGGTTTAGCACCTAAACCGGGTTGAGGTGCCCCCATTCCTAATCCTGGCTGTCCCAGTCCAGGCGCGCCCATTCCCATTCCAAGGCTTGGTTGCGGTGTTGGTTGCGCTCCGAGACCCATTCCCCCCAATCCAGGCTGCCCAAGTCCTGGTGGTTTAGCACCCAAGCCAGGTTGAGATGCTCCTAAACCCATTCCCATACCAAGACCTGGTTGGTTTCCAAGTGTGGGAATTGGTTGGCTTTTCTTTTGAGCTTCTTCGGCAGCTTTTTTTGCTTTTTCTTCTTCCTCCTTTTTCTTTTGTTCAGCAACAGCTTTCTCTTGTTCCTCTTTCTCAGCCTTTTCTTTCGCGATCTTCTCTTGCTCGAGTCTTTCTTTTTCAAGACGTTCACTCTCTTCCTTTTCTTTTAGAATTCTTTCAGCCTCAGCTTTTTCTTTGGCTACGCGTTCTTGTTCCAATTTCGCGGCAACCTCCTTTTCAATTCTCTCCTTTTCTAATTTCTCAGCTTCTTCACGTGCCAATTTTTCCGCAAGCTCTTTTGCTTTTCTCTCCTCTTCCTCCTTTTCTTTTGCTACTCTCTCTTGTTCGAGTCTTTCTTTTTCCAATTTTTCTGCTGCTTCACGTTCAAGACGCTCCTTCTCAATTCTTTCGGCTTCAGCCCTTTCCTTTAAAATGCGTTCTTCCTCGGCTTTTTGAGCTGCTTCCTTCTCAAGCCTTTCTTTCTCCAATTTCTCAGCCTCTTCTTTTTCCTTAGCAAGTCGATCTTGCTCGAGCTTTTCCTTTTCAAGACGCTCTTTCTCAACTCTTTCAGCTTCAAGCTTTGCTTCTTGTTCAGCTTTCTCTTTGGCAATTCTCTCTTCGTTTGCTTTAGCTTCCTCGGCCTCTTTCTTCTCTTTTTCAGCGGCTTCCTTGTTTGCTTTTTCAATTTCGGCCTTTTCTTTTTCAACGCGTTCTTCTTCAGCCTTTTTAGCAGCTGCTTCTTCCTCTTCCTTTTTCTTAGCGGCTTCTTCTTCAGCTTTCTTTTTGTCGGCTTCTTGTTTCTCTTGTTCTTCTTTCTTTTTGGCAGCTTCAACATCTTCGTTTGCTTTCTCTATTATTTCTTTGTTTAATTTATCATTTTCAACAACTTCCGTTTTTGCCTTTTGTTCAGCAGCTTCCTTTGCTTTTTCTTGTTCCTCTTTCTCAGCCTTTTCTTTCGCTTCTTTCTCTTTGGCAGCTTCTTCCTCTTTCTTTTTGGCTTCTTCGGCATCTTTCTCTGCTTTTTCTTTCTCCAATTTCTCCTTTTCAGCAGCTTCCTCTTTAGCTTTTTGTTCAGCAGCTTCTTTTTCTTTGGCTACTTTTTCCTCTTCTTCTTTTTTGGCTTTGGCCTCAGCGGCTTCCTTTTCTATTTATCAGTAACTTTTTCAGAACACTAAAAACATGTGCGTTGTTAAAAGTGTTTTTAAACATCTCAACAAACGTTTTTTCTCTTCTTCCTCTTTTTTTGCCTTTTCATCTTTTTCAGTCTTTTCTTTCTCTTTAATTTCGTCCTTTGGTTTCTCCTTTTCAACCTTTTCTTTTTGTTAATGCCACTCAACTTATCTCTCTGTTCTCAATCGAGATTTTTTCAACTTTTTATAAACAATAACAAACGCTTTTCAGTTTCGTGTCCTCCTTTGTGGTGCTTTTCTTGTTCCTTTTTCTCTTTCTCGAGTTTCTTTTTTTCCTTTTCCTCCTCTTTCTTCCGTTTCTCCTCTTCTTTTTTGTGTTTCTTTTCTTCCTCTGCTTTTTTCTTTGCTTCCTCTTTCTTCCGTTTCTCCTCCTCCTTCTTCTTTTTCTCTTCTTCTTTGAGCTTCAGCTTTTCCGCTTTTGTGCTCATCAATCCTACTTTTCAAGTTTCCAGTTTTCTTTCCGACAACCGAAATCTCGTTCATTTCACCTATTTTTCCCGTTTTTGCGGACCTTTCTTTTTCCAGTTATTATTTTTTTCTCAAAATTAATAAGGGTTTTATAATAAGTCATTTTTAATTCATTTACGATATTTTTTTCCTATTATTCCGGGACTACTTTTAATAATATACCTATTTTCAGACTTTTTTAAAAAACGCTATTTAAGTCGTTCTTTTTTTGGTAAATATATATCAAACTCAAACTATATTATACTATACTTTTAACTCAAAATCCAAAACCGTAATCTCAAAAATAAAATGACCACCATCAATAATATATTAAGTATAAAAATATAGTTTTTATGATTTGGGTATTATAATTTAATAATAATTTTGAATTACCATTATACTAAATTTTATAATCAATACCTCGATTGAAAACTTTGACGCAAGAATACCTCAAAGTAAAACTCACAATAAAACTATTAAAACGGACAAACAATCAAACACATATTAATCTTCATCGCCATCTCTTTTCAATAAACTGGTTACCCTTTCCTTTTTCATTTTAACAACTTCATTCAATTTTTCTTCGTAGATATTGTCTTCTTCATTAGTTACATTTTCAATATTTGTAGACATATCATTAACATCAGAACAGATAGTATTAAACTCAGGTCGTTCATTAGGATCATTGTCCCAACATTTTTTAATTAATTTTGAATAGTCAACAGGACAATTCCCATTCAATGGGGGACGTATTCCTTTTAAGACATGATCTTTAATATCAAAGAGAGACTTTGTATCCTTCCATGGTTCTTCTGCATAGTACAATTCCCAAGCCATTATCCCAAATGAATAGACGTCACACTTTTCATTATAAATATCACTATAAGACTCTGGAGAGACATAAATTGGTGTTCCAAGTCCTTTATCAGACGTTCTATCAGCAAAAATCTTAGACGTTCCAAAGTCAGTGATTTTAATAACAGCAGAAGACGTCTGCGACCAGAATGAATTGACAAGTAAATTGTCTGGCTTCAAATCAAGATGGATGATCTTATTTTGGTGCAAAAAGGCCATTCCCCTTGCACAGTCGTACATCACTCGCAATTTGTATTTATAAGGAAGTATCACATTAAAGTCATTGTTCCTTCGAATGTACTCTGCTAGACTGCCCAATTCAAAGAAGACGGTTATCATAGAGACTTGTGGGATATAAGTCACTGCACCAATATAATTTGCTATAAATGGATTTCGTAGTTTCTCCATCATCTTACACTCGTTGTCCACTTTCTCTTTCAAATTCAGTGACTCTTCCTCTGTTAAATTTTCCCAATTAAACGTTTTAACAGCGACATATGCTCCTCGGTAGAGCCCCAAATACACCACACCATTTGCACCATCACCAATTGGTCTGTCAGCAATTTCGATTTCATCAATATCAATGGAAGTCGAGCGATTAGCTTCTGTGGTAATTGTGAAGTGTCCGTGATGCTTTTCTTTCACCTTTTGCATTAAAAGTGACATTTCTTCTTTGTCATCCAGACTGAATGTCTCAAATGTTTTGTCGTAAAGTAATTCCTCAATTTTGTGAAGAGTTTTAATGTTATCAGATATATACACCGTGTAATGGATTTTCATTCCAAGAATGTGGCTTGTACAGAACAGTGTCATATACACTGTTATCTCCTTATTTCTCTTTGGTGATAAATACACAATTTGTGGCTCAAAATAAAATCTGTATTTTGGACTGTTTGTTGTGTGAATAACAAACATCGCATGGTGCTTTGTTTTATTTGTCAATATAACCTTTTCAAATCGAGTCTCGTTGATATTGCTTGGCGTGTCATCGTTTCCAAAATCAAGTTTATTTGGGTAGGCAAACACTTTCGATGTTTTAGTAATTTCGGAGGAACCTATAATATCGTAGAAGTATATTGGTTGGATCTGCAAATATTTTTTAAAGTCGATTTGTCTTCTTTTGAATTGTCTCATGAATATCACAACAACAAGAACTGCAATAATAAACACCACAAACGCTACAAATACAAATGAACACACTGCCATTAACCAGTACGTCATCCCAGAGTCGTAACATTTCCCATTTCCTCTTGGTCGATAACCTTGTACACATTTACAGTATACGTTACATGTATTCCCACCATCACACTATTTGTTATTTATTCATTTAAATTACTATTGTATATGAAATTAAACAAACTTCTTCGCCATCATCATATCTATTGTTACCACATAAGACAGAAACACAGACATGTGTTACATTATCCGAAATTAACTTATATCCAAATTCACATGTACACGTTGATGTGCAATGTGCATCACCTCGTAAGCACTCCATATTGGTGATGGTGTTGTTATAACATGAATTTGGAACACATATCTGGTTTTCAAAAGTATATCCATCACTACACTGACAATCTTCATCACATCCACTCTCCCCATATCTACATAACAATTTGGAGTCTCCGTATTCTAAATTAAATACTTTTGTACTTGTGTTGTAACATATATCTCTGCATTTCTTTCCATATTTGTGTATACTACACACACATTCGCCCGTTTTCTTATTACAAAATCCAGCACCACTGTTTTCATTACAGTTATCCTCGCACACTTTTCTAATCAAAATTTGGTCAGTCGCAATCGACTCATACGAAAAGTAATTCACAAAGTACTCTTTCCCCTTTTCAAATTTGATAACAAAGGAAAGTTCATCAGTGATCCCTTCTTTTCTTAAAGCACCTTCTTTACTCCCTCGAATCGACCAATTACACTCATCCGAGTTATTTAGTATTTTCACATCTTCGACCATTCGATACTTCCGGTCCAAATTTTTGACTTGAAAATTCATATCTTCGTACACAGACGCAATATGTATTTTTAAAGTCTTATAAATGCTCCCTGAACATACAGAGCGGATGTAATCACATTCACCCATTCTCACTGTTTTGTGATACCCATTCGGTGAATTTGCTATTGCACGTAATAATGGTTCATCGATGTCAATATGGTATTTCTCCTTTCTCATCGTTTCTACAGTGATAATTGGAGTGTTTGTCGGAATGGTATTTGACCACACAAATGCATAATACACTGTGTTATAAGTAATTATACCAAAACTCTGTGATGTTAAAAAGTCTCCAGCAGTATGACAGACTACTTCTTCATTTTCCAAATATATAACGTCCACAGAGAAATTCTGTTCCCATTCAACTTTGATATATTTGGTATCAAAATCGTTTTGTGTGGTCGAATTAAAGGAAACCCAAGCCCCATAACCAAATACATTTCTATTGATTCTCTTTTCAGAACAAGGCGAGTGGTATAATTTAATATCACTTTGTGGAACTTTATATTGTTCGTTTATATTCAACCTTTTATTTGTCAAATACCCATTGTATAACTCTTCAGTTGTATTCACTGATACTGGAACACATTCTTCATTGTTGTTTTTCAAATAGAGGGGGTTTGTCGGTGTTATTGGGATATGAGGATCCATACTTTGACACATTTGACACTGCAAGTCGTTTGGGTCATACCCAGTGTTACACTCACTACAATAATCCGTTCCCGTAATCACCATTTTGCATCCAGGAGAAACTACTGAATTGGTTAAAAAAATGCACAATGCAAGAAAAAACACCATTTTCAGTTTTGAGTTGTTTTAGAATTATGTATTACTTTTATGGACCTTTTTTCGAATTATAATTTATTCGATTCGATGGATCACTTGTTGCGTTCTGCCGTTATTTTTCACTTATATAGACTCTTTAATTTGAATTATTTTGTTTTGTTTTAATAAACTATATAATAGTTTGTTCCTCTTCTTATGAGCCAATTTGGTATTTCTTTTCTTAACTGTTTCTACTGGTAATAGCTACATTAATTACAATGAAATTATTGTTTTGAAAAGGGTTGCATTATTTTTATAATAAATAGGAAATGCTGAAGTGCAAAGAAAAAAAAAGATCGTTAATAATTGAAAACATTGGGTTAAAAAATGAAAACAACAATCAAAATTGTATCATTTTATACAACTTTAAAACTAAATAATTATGAAGACTTTTTAAACATGATGTTAACTTTATTTTTTTTAAATACGATTCATCTATTTTTTCAATTGTTTTTGTCAAAACCGTTTTTATTTAATAATTTAATTATACAAAATTATAATTTTAATTAGTTCAAAAATTAAAAAATAATTTGAATCCATTTGAAAACTGTATAAATTAAAAAAAGATTTAATTTCGTTACAGTTAACATGATAATGATATATCATATCGGGTTTTATACTCTAAAAATTAATCATTTTACATTTACCATTTTTTTGAAAGAAAGCCCCCACTTTTTCCATTTAACTCACAGCATACTTACTCAATTTATATTTTTCATCAATTTAGAGTTTGTCTTTTTTTTTAATAAACTTAAAAATAATAAAAATATAAAAACTTTATACGCACATTTTTCTCAAAAAACGGGTAAACCTTACTAATGTTTAAAAATAAATAATTTAATTGTAAATTGTGTCAAAATGTTACCCATTCAATTTCTACGTTATTAAACATTTTTTTAACACTAAACTAAAGTCTGATTTCTAATTAACGATATTCCAAAAATACAAAAAAAAAATTACTATATCAGTTTTTTTATATTATAATATATAGTATCGACCATCGCTTATTAAAAACCATAAATAAATAGTAAATTTCTTATTAATTTTTACCATTTGACATTCTCAAAGAAACGCTGGTTGTCAATCGTTTTCTAGGCTATTCAAATCAATTGGTATAACCTATAACCACATCATAACAATGACACTTATGTGAGTAACTATATTAAATGGTCTGCCGGTTGTGTTGATATTACTCGGAGATATGCCAGAAGAGGAATTACAAACTCCACATTATTTGCTTTTCTTTTTTGGATGTATAATTTGGTTAAAAAGTAAATAAAAAATTAAAATAAAACAAAAAAAAAATATATAAAACAAAGCTATTGATTATAATTAAAAAACTAAATGTATAGTTAATTTATTCCATCGTTAATTAAAAAACCGACTTTATATTTTTTACAAAAACATTCGACAATTTCAACACTTAAAAAATAAGATTAATTTTTTAGTTCAAATTCCTCATTTCATTTTGCATCAATTCTTGAGTTGATTAAATTTAGAAAAGAGGTATAAATACGTGTACTTGGCTCTCAAAAACATTGTGTTGTTAATAAATGAATTATTTATTCAGAAATGGAAACAATTGTGATAGACAATGGTTCTTATGTCATGAGGGCAGGTTTTGCTGGTGAAGAAGAACCAAGGTCAATAATCCGATCCGTGGTGGGGCGACCAAAGCACGCACATTTACCGATAGTCTTCAACCCAAATGAGGACGTTTTTTATGGTGACGATGCTTATAACAAATATCAAATACTTAACTTGACTTATCCCATTAAAAACAGTGTTATTACTAATGCCAAATATTTTGGTAACACATATACTTCGTTTGATGATATGGAAGGTCTCTGGAATCAAACGTTTGTTACAGATCTAAAGATAACTCCTTCAGACCGTTCTGTCCTTTTGTCGGAATGTCCATTCAATCCCGTTGAGACAAAGTCGAAAACAGCACAACTCTTTTTCGAGAAATTTGGTGTGAAGTCGCTGTCCTTTAAAGCACAACAAATTTTAAGTTTAACATCCACTGGGAGACACACAGGTGTTGTACTGGACTGTGGTCTTTCAGCATCATGGTGTGTCCCTATAGTCGACTGCGAGTGTGTTAAAGACTCGATTGTTCAGACTCAAGTGGGTGGTCGACACATCGACGACTATTTAGTCCAACTGCTTAAAGAACGATCAAAATACACATATGAAGATCCTCTTGGTCGCGTGACAAGAGACATCAAAGAGAAGTTATCATATGTTTCAACAAATGACAACGTCGACGAAAAGTCCATATCCAAGGAATATGAGTTACCAGACAAGACTTCAATCACTATTGGAAAAGAGAGGTACTTGTGTACTCAACCCCTTTTCGACCCAGCACTCATCAATATTGAAGGCGATGGAATACCAAAATCTATAGACAATGCCATCACTAAGTGTGATAATGATCTTTTGCAAATGATGTACGGCAATATAGTCATTACAGGAGGGTCTTCTTATAGCTTTAATGGTTTGATGTATAAATTACAGAATGAATTGACAAAACTCGCGCCCCCAAAGATTAAAATACTATGTCAGTCAGATCCCAACACTTCTTTGATGACTTGGGTTGGTGGCTCTCTCATCGCCTGTCAGTCTTCTTTTAGTAATATTGAAATCACAAAAGCAATGTACAACGAGTTTGGCGTTTCTTTGTTTACCAAAAAGTGACTTCCATCAATTGAGTTTGCCTTAAATTCCATTTAGTTTTGATGCTTTATTGTTGCACTTTAATCCCTCTCTTGTTCTAAACGCCAATATTTTTGGTGTAATTTCTATGGATTTTATAGAACGTGAACTGGTTGACCTAAAAGTATTATTTTTCAACATTACATATTTAATTCGGTGTGTTCAAACTATATTAAATTATTAAAAATACCAAATTAACTAAATAAAGACCGCTTTCAATAGATACAGTCAGTTTTGTGTTAATCAATGTATCTGGCAGGAACACAAAAAAAAACTTCTGTTCATATTCCATTCAAAAAAGCATCCTTTTTTTTTGCAAGTGACAAAGGATACAAGCCACAAATAGACATGAAAAAACAGTAACTTGTTTCTTCTGCAAAACAACACTTTTGGTTATATTTTTCTAAAAAGTAAAAGACAATAGAAGTATAATGGTAAAACTTAAAATATAAAAACCCTCCATTCATTCAATTATATGGTTGATTTTAGGTTGAAAACTAAACTATTAAACTATCAGTGTGTCGTCATGCGTGCATCACTTCTCATCGTTGCTTTTCTATCATTGGCGTTCTCACAAGATGAAATAGTCAATGTTTCATGTAACATCCCCTTTTGCACAAATTGTGAAACTACAGACATCATCGGAAAGTTTATTTTGTACGTCGTGGTATGAATGGGTATGAACTCATCAACTCTTCTTGGTATTAGTTTGTTTGTACCATTTTAAATGTGGTTGTAATTCATTT